ATCCTTTATACTGTTGGTTGTAACCAAGAAAAGTAGAAGGCTGAGTTCTGGGTTCTAGTTTATGTTTATTGTATGGCCTTAAGTAAGGAAAGCAAAGGCAACCAAATACCTTGAGATGAGAGTAATCTGGCTTGTGGTTTGTCAACAGCTCCAATGGTGACTTATGATCAAGGATTTTTGATGGTAAACGGTTTATGATGTAAGTGGAAGTGAAAAAAGCATCATCCCAATGTTTATGGTTAAGATGTGACTGAGAGAGAAGAGATAACCCCATCTCAACAATGTGTCTATGCTTTCTTTCAGCTAGACCATTTTGTCGGGGTGTGTAAGGGCATGAAATTCTATGCATTATCCCATTCTTTTGAAAGAAATCAGTGAGTGACTTGAACTCAGTTCCCCCATCACTTTGAACAATTTTGATCTTTCTGTTATATTGGTTCTCAACAAGATTTTTGAAGTGAATGAATGCATTAAGGGTATCAGATTTAAACTTAAGCAAGTATAACCAAGAGTATCTTAACTTGTGGTCTATGAAGTTGACATAATAGTGATAACCATTGTGAGATTTTATGGGGGCAGGTCCCCACAAATCTGTATGAATGAGATCAAGAATATCATAATCATTATTGGTAGAGACAGGAAAAGGGAGTCTATGGATTTTTCCTTGCAAACAAAACTCACAAAGCCTTTTATTATCATCAGAGTCAAAATGAAGATTACAACTAGATAGGGCTCTTTTGACAGTATCAAATGAAGCATGACCTAATCTAGAGTGCCAAATGGCTACATCTTCATTAGTTTTCTTGATATGGTTGATAGAAGCAGGCTGGGAAACATTCTTGAATGAACTGAAATCACCATTGAAGCTGGATAGACTGAATGTGTATAGACCATCTCTAACTCTCCCTCTTAGTAGGGTCAATCCTGAAATTTGATCCTTCACAAGACAATGATCCGAGTGAAACTCAAAATAGACCTTATTGTCAAGAGCAAATTGTGACACACTCATGAGATTTTTGGTAATTTCAGGGACAAAAAGTAAATTATTGAGGATAAATTGGGGTGACTGAGGTTCATTAGAGCTCAATATAGAAGTACCAATATGTGAGATATTGAGATTCTTACCATTGCCTATTTGCACCTTCTCTGATCCTTGATATTCTGAGGCTAAATTCAAGTTGGCAAGGTCATAAGTGACATGGCTGCTAGCTCCAGAATCAGGATACCAGTTGTTGTCCTCTGAGGGCTCATATGAAGAAGATGGTATGATGGCAGTGGTATGAACAGCTGGATTCTTGTTTCTCACTTGCTGGTTTTGGTTGTTATTGTTGAAGCTTCCTGGATTTCCTGAGCTTGGGACAAAGTTTTGATCAAACCTATGCCAACACTTATCTGCTGTGTGTCCAGTGTAATGACACACTTGGCATCTGGGTTTGCCTCTACCTCTTCCTCTGCCAAAGCCGGTTCTGCCTCCTCTTGAGGTATTTCTTCCCCTTCCTCCTTGGAATTGACCTCTTCCTCTTCCTTGAGTGTGCTCAGTGTAGTTGATGCTTGGGTGAGAACCATCAAAGCTATATTGAGTTTGTTCTGAGGTCACTGGGTCTATTCTGGTTTCAAAAGTGAGGAGGAGGGATTGAACATCTCTGAGATTGATAGCCTCTGGTCTGGACATAATGGATACCATAACAGGGTTGTACTCCTGCCCGAGTCCTGCAAGAACATGCATAACTTGTTCTTCATCTGTGACTCTTTGTCCTGCAGCTGCTAGAACATCACAACAGGTCTTCACTTGGTTGAGGTATTCTCTCATGGTGGAACCTCCTTTCTTCATGGTCTGTAGCTTGAGCTTGTACTGCATGATTTTTGCCTTGGACTGGCTTGAAAAGCTTATGTTGAGGCTGTCCCAGATCTCTTTGGAGGTAGTGAGCCCAACCGTGGTGATCAATATTGGCTCTGTCAAAGAGGAGAGTAGCCAAGAGGCTAAGATTTGATCTTGCCTTACCCAAAGGGCATGATCTGGATTGAGTGTTGGGTCACTTGACTCATCTTGGAGAAATTCTTCTGGGATTTTTTGGTCAGCAGAGATGAAGTGGAACAGTCCATATCCTTTGATGGCTGCGAGGATTTGTTGACGCCAGACCAGAAAATTGCTTTGACTGAGTTTGGAAGAAATTAATTGGCTTTGTGGGAATATGAGCTGATTTTGCTCGGAATTTGGAGAAAGAATAGATGAGGAAGACATTCTGAATTTTCAGAGAAATGAAATGATAAATAATAACGGATAAGAGTGGTATAGAGCTTCCCAGATCAGTCTGGAGCTCTGATACCATAAAAGCTTTTGTGCAATTCCATGACAGAAATCAAAAGAACAAGAACAAGCCTCTATTACTTTTGCCAACAATATTGCACTATCTTATGTTCATCGATTACAGATCTATAAAAATGAGCCTATTAATAATGATCTCATAAAGATCTAGAATGAGGACACCTATGCTAGGTAAAAGCAACAATTCAAAACAAGGAATTTACCCACAAGGGGTAAAAGTACACAAGTAATTCTCATCCAAATGTTGTGACCGTTTTATTCCTTTGTCCTCATGCATGAAGGCCTGCATGGCTGGCTCGAGACTCTTCAGCTTCTTGTGTGAACACATTGCATGGTTGACGTGGCACTGTGTACGTGAGCTTCGTTCCATATTGGGATAATGATCATGCAGCGTTGTAATCCTTTTACTAACGGTCAAAAAAATTATATAAAAATGGACAATTTGCCTTTTTTTTTATTATTATTATTTGAAGTATCAATGAACTCATCTAATTAAATTTTGTAATTGAGAGTGAAAGTGTCACTCATGGTTCATGTAAGGTGTTAGTTGTATAATTATAATATTACATTGTTGTACGGTGAAAATGTAAAAAAACAAAATGTGGTTATATAAAAATATTAGAAGCAATCCCACTTTCATTTAAGTTTCAACTCAAAAGGCTATTATTAAAAGTGTGGGTAACATTCTCTCTCCATCTTCTATTTTAATTTAATACAAGTCACTCAAAATGGATAATTTGGACCATTAGATTAAAGTAACAAGATCCAATGGCCATTAATAAACACAAGAGAGGGTGTTGTGTAAGTTTACACTGCATGCCCCCTGATTAGGCTTGTAAACAAATCAAAATTTTTTGATTCAATTCGATATTCGTGATTCGAATTCGAAATATTCGAATTCGAATTCGAATACGAATAATGTTTTATATTCGAAAGTTAAACGAATCCGAATTCGAATTTATAGATATTCGATTCGTTAATAATAATTATTTAAATTTTATAAATTATATATAGTATGCATTTTGTTTATAATATATATGTGTATATATATATTTTTATATTCATAATATTTTTATGACATAAAAAGTAAAAACATCATAAGTTAACAATTTTCCTTAAATATATATGAAAAAATAAAAATTACTTTTGTAATTATAATATTTTTCTGAAAACGAATTTCGAATCGAATCGAATATGTTCGAATATTCTAAACAAATCGAATACAAATCAGAAAATGAGTTCGTTAACGAATCGAATACGAATTCGAATCCTCAATTATTTTAACGAATCCGAATCAAATATCTTAGTATTCGCTTTGATTCGATTCGTTTACAACCCTACCCCCGATCCACAAAACATACCCTCACACTCCTCATTTATTAAACCCTAACCAGCACAACGGTCTCCTCTTCCTCTCTCATCTGTCGCCGCTAGGCAACAATCCTAGGGAAACAATGGAGGCAATCATATCGGACCTTTGTCTCTCTTCTTACTTCTCAAATTTCCTGTGACGCCCCGCCTTTGGGACACAACCTCCGTCTAGACGCCCCCCCGTCTCCGACTCCACTTTCAAAGGTAATCACTATAATTTTTAAGAATTTAAATTTGGTTAATGTAAAACTAGTGTGTAGCCCGTGCGATGCACGGGTAAATAATATTAAATAATAATTATAAATTAACGATGATAGTAAACAATATTAACTAATAATTATAAATTAAATATGAGGTAAACGACATTAACTAAAAATTGTAATTAATTTGTAGAGTTAATATGTGACATAATTTATCGTATATCAGTTGTAAACAATATAAAATTATCTTATATAAAATAACATAAAAAATGTATGTTTAAAATATTAAAAACACCTAAAATATTATATAACGTATGTGAAGTATCTAAAATTTTATATATCATTATTGAAAGATGTGAAGTCACCCAAAATATTTCTAAACTATTTTATAAATAAAACATGTAGTCCATGTATCTCCTGTTAGTCAGGCCGAGTTATGTTCGCAGACAATTTTGTTCGATTTACAATTCTAGTCACCCCCCTCCCCCCAAAATATTTTTCTAGATACTTCCCTGATTCTAAAATTTTTATTACCTTTTGAAGTGAGATTTTATAAATATAGAGACTGAGATTTTAATGTTCTTCATTATTTCTATGAAAAAAATAAAAATGTACACTTAATAGATCTTAGTTAAATAATAAAATGAATTAAAGCCCAAAATTTAATGCAACATTTAATGTTGTATGATTTTGTAAAGATAAAAATAAAAATTATAATAAAACTTACTATTTATAGGTGGCATTAAATTCTCTCCTATTTTTTTGCTACTATTTTTGTTAAATGTTAATTCTTATTATATATATATAGATATGTGCAGGCCTTTCTTTTCTATTTCATAATTTTTCTTAAAATTAAAAAAAAAATATATTATGTAATAATACTCTATACCCTTGTTCCCTAAAGGTAGTGTGTAATTTACAAATGGTCTTTATTTTTCTGAAAATATTGCATTCAACTGAAATTTTCATAAATAAATGTACAAGTATCAAGTATCAACATCCATTGAACCCTAATTTACGATTGTGTTCTTCACGATTTTGCAGCTTCGATTCGTGTTCTTCCCCAAATTGTTGCCCTAATTTCGCAGCTTCATCCTCTAAAAATGTCGTACGCGTCTCGTACAAGCCTTAATTCGCAACATAGCGCTTCATCCAATATCCCCGTGCGGAGGTTGTGCGGCTGTTTGGAGGAGGCCGATGTTTTCACCTCTGGCACCGACAATAATCCATGCCGGAGGTTCTACAGGTGTCCAAATAGAAAGGTTATTTATTATTGTATTTTATTATGCAATTTTACGGCAATTTTGTTCAGAATGGGTGGATAAAAATATGGTTTTTCCTCTAATTGATATGCAACAGGTAAAAGATTGTGGTTTGTTTGATTGGATTGATCCCGCATTGCCTGAGTTCAAAAAGACATGCTTCATCAGATTGAAGGCTCAAGAAAAGGTTTTAAAAGAAAAGTTACGGGCCATGGAAAAACAACATAATGATAGGTCGGGTGTGAAAGAAGTAAGCTTGTCTTCACTTGAGGAGCTTGAAAACAAAGTGACAGGGCTTGAGGTTGATGGTCACAAGACTGCTGAAGTACTTTTGGTTCTTGAGAAGACCTTAACTCAAGTGAAAAACCTTGAAAGGAAAATGTATGTAGTGATGATTTGTGTGATTGTTGTTGTTATGGTTGTTGTTGTGATTGTGTTTGGTAGAAATGGTTATGTTCTTGTTGTGATTGTGATATTGTATTTGTTATGGTTCTTGTTGTGATTGTGTTTGGTAGAATTATGTTTGATTGATATATGTAATGGAATTGAAAACCTTTTGCATGAATGTATTATTATTACAAGAATTATCTTATTTCTGTTATTGTGCATATTATATTATTATTATTACAAGAATTAAAAGCCTATGCATATTTATGTTACAAGAATTGACATGGCACAATATCACATGAAGACATTCTAAACCCCACAATAAAATAACATGAGTTCCAAAGAACACTTCCTTTCCAATAAACAGAGCACATTTAAAGAACGAAACACTTCATTTAAGTGATTTTCACATAACAACACACATAAATATCACATAACATATCCAGATCCCACAAAACTCAAAAACACATACAAAAGATCAGTTCAAACTATTGAGTCTCCACACACAAAACCAACACACCCCAAAGACAGCAAAATCAGTTTAATGGTACCACATCAGTTCAACAATACTACATCTTAATTTCCAACCTCACTCTCTTGAGTGCATATGAAGTCCCCTGTACTTTGCCCTCTTCCTCTTCCTCTAGCAGTGGTAGACCCACTCCTCTGCCCTCTTCCTCTACCAGTGGTTGACCCACTGCTTTGCCCTCTGGTTGTGCCACTGCTTTGGCCTATTTCTCTAGCAGTGTTTGAAATCACATGAATCTTTTTTGCAGACGACAACTGCATTATATTATACAATAATTACCCCATATGTTAGTCAATAAATATATTATATTATATTTCAGAAATAGTGAATTCTTATAAAAAAACCATACCTTCATGTAAACATTACCAGTTTCCTCAGATTGCAAGATACCAAAACCTTTCCTTGCCTGCCAAACAAATGAACAAAATTATTGAGTTGTCTAGTATTGGTACCAATTTGAGAAAATTTCCATATAAAAGTACTACCAAGGCTCTTTCTTTTTGTATGACAGATGACTGCACCTCCTAATCGACAGTTTATTTATCTTCTCAACAGACCGGGTTGTCATCCTCTGAACTGGTGTTCTTGTCAGCCTCTCAACTGGTGGGCTTGTCATTGTCTCAGATGTGGGCTTGTCATGGTCTTAGTTTGGGGTGGTTGAACCTCAGTTTAAGGTGGTTGAACCACAGTGTGAGGTGCAGCATGCTGTCTGGGCCTTCTCCTTTGGTTCTGTACAAAGAAAATTACCATGATTAAAGAATGTAAAGAAATAAATAACAAAAACTTAGTATTATGAATGAATAGAAATTTAAACCATAGTGTGGGGTGAACTATGCTTTCTGGGCCTTCCCTTTGGCTTCTGTACAAAGAAAATGACAATGATTAAAGAATGTAAAGAAATAAATAACAAAAACTTAGTACTATGAATGAATGGAAATTTAAACCTTAGCAAATTTCTCAACTTCAGGCAGGGTGCATGATTTCTTGATATGCCCTTTTTGCAAACACCTTTCACATGTCATAATCAGCCCAAACCTTCTCAACTTGCCTACACTTCTGGCTTCTTCCTCAGGAGCCCTTCTTCTTTTTTCTTAGGTCTTCCAGGCATCTTCTTGAAAGGAGGGGGTAAGATTGGATTACCTTCTGCAGCTGGCCACATTTTTTTTCCATTTATGGGCTTCAATGAGATGCTATACATACTCAAGTACCTCTCAGTATAGAAATACTCAGACACAAAGACTGCAGAGATCTTTATGCTGAAAATGTATTGCTGAGAAAGCATGCACACAAGGTATTCCTGGTATATCCCATTGTCTACAAGTACAAGTATTATTCCTCAAATCCACCACAAATTGATCATCTTCTAAAGCAACCTGAAACCTATCACCAACTGCAGGCTTTCTGACACACACTCTTGACAAATATTTATTCTGTTCTACCTTTGATCTTATTCTAGGACAAAGCTTGTCAGGATGTCCACTCAACTCCATCAATTTCCCATGTTGTCTATTCATTAGTTCAGTCCTTATAAATTCAAGCATCTCAATGATGTGGCTTCCTCTTTCCTTAACTATAAACCCATTGAAAGTCTCACTAACATTATTTTCTATCATATCACACCTAGGAAGAGATGAGACAAATGCCTTACAAAACTTTGAAGGATCTCTATTGATAAAGTCTTCATAAGCTTCTTTGCATTCTGCCTTCAAGTCCTCCAAAGCAATGTTGTAGTCTCCAAAGGTGAGTGCTTAGAACAATCCTGTAGAACAATTTTTTCAAAGTTTGCCCCTTGAAATGCTTCTTCCAATTCATGTAGACATGTCGAGCACAATTTTTGTGCTCAGCATTTGGGGCCAAGTATCTCAGAACATTCAACAAACCCTACAAACAAAAAATTATTTAGAACATGCTAATGTTTGAAATTAAGAACAAAAACTCAAAATTGCACATAATATTTACCTTTTATTGGTCTGAAATGAAAGTATATCCTAAGCCATCCCTTATACCCACTTCTGTAAACAAAATTGACAGCACATCATGCAACCGACATTACTTACCAAAATATCGAGTATGTCGACCTGCCAGAATAAGTCTCACCCTTGATAAATCAAATAAGTAAGTGCTGACTACATATTCTCGTACATTGTCTTACGGGTTGAGAAATATATAGCAAAATATGAGGTCTAGATTATTTACTTGTTTTACTAAAAAAAAAACGTGACATATTTTTAATAATTTATTTTTCGTTCATTTTACAATTTACATTAAACACTTAAGAAAATATCATACTTTGAATTTTTTCACATAACAGTAGCGATAATATTGAAGTCAAATTGAGTCGAATACGTCGTGTTCGAACTTATGCTCGTTTAATAAATGAGCATGTTTGGCTCGGATCATTTAATAAATCGAGTGTAATCAATTAAGCTCCGATTGTTTAAATTAAATTTTTATTTTATGTTTTATTACATGAATTAGTCAAGATTGACTTTTTTACGAGCTGAGATTTACTTCCTAACAAATCGATTTTAGTAGCCCTTGGTAGAAAATATTTCTGGCTACGTCCTTGTCGACGCGTCATAATTTTGAAAAAAAAGTGCATACTTCTAATATGAAATATCATACTTTCGTCACAAAGTTGAATACAAGTGCATACTTGTTATGGGAAATATTGTACTTTTATTTAATATTTGTTACAGTATGATATTAGAGTATAAAAATATGTTGTGAAATATAAGTTTATCTGATTGTTAGACTTATTAACACTAATTTTACTGATATCATCAATATAACAAAAACTGAAATAAAATATAAATATGAATGTATGATGTTTGAAATCAAAATAGTGTATGATGTATGTTTTTAGCATGGTTTAGAAAATTGGACAAGACTGGCCATCCGAGCGGGAATCGGTCCTATTTGCTGGAAAAAACTGGTTGCTAGTGAATCGGTCATAAATCGGTTAGAACCGGCCAAAAACCTGTCAGGTCGAACCGGTCCAATATTTTTTTTTAATTGATATATTTTTAATATAAATAAAAAATACATATTTCAATATAATGGATATATAAGTTATTATTAGTTCTTTTAAATATTTTGAATGTTTTAAATTAGCTTAAAATTAATTAACAAATTTTTATATATAAATTTTGTTATATAAAATATGGTATTTGTTTAAAAATATTAATAAATTAAATACCGGTCCAAACATTGAACCAGTAGCTTGACCGATTTTGGTTTTTAGAATCTTAACACTACCTAATTTTAACTACGTAAAAAATGTTCCAAAATAAGATGACAAACAACGATGCACACAAAATGAGATGACAAACAATGATACTAATTTTTCATGTCTAAACATCAAAGTATATGAAATAAGAGGAAAATAAATTATCACCTGCAGCTTTTGTAGCCAAAAGTCATATGACATTTATCTTATTTTCTCAGATACCTTTATGCTGTGAAATTTGACAAATCGAACATATCAATTAATCTCATTACACGAACATGAGATGGTAATCCCAGTTTAACTGGTTCAAAATAATAAAAAAATAAAATAAAATTCCAGTTTAACTGGACCTACCCACTTGATTAAATTATATATATTTAATTAAAACAAAAATAAACACAAGATCGGAGAAAAAAAAAAGATATGTGGTTTTATTTCTACTTCTTAATTTCTACCTTCTTAACTAATAAGGAAATAGAAAGTTCGCTAGAATTGCGACACGTGGCTTAGCCATTCAGCTCCTTTTGAGTTCTTTTTTCTACGATTTTTGATTTTTTTATTTTTTTTTTATTTTCAACATTCGAGTTAATTCCAGAGAAAACAAATTAGGGGGCACAAAACATGGATTCGGGGGCTCCGCTATGCAAACTTACACAGCACCCTTTCATGTGTTTTGTAATGACCATTGGATTATGTAAATTTAATCTAATGGTCCAAATTTTATGAAGAGAGACTTGTATTATATTAGAATGCAAGAGGAGAGAGAATGTTTCCCATTCTTTTAATAATAGTATTTGAGTTGAATTTATATGAAAGTGGGATTGTTGTATTTTAAATATTTTAACTACTCATTATATTTTAGTTTTACATTTTCATATTGTTTTTTAATCTAATTTTTGTATATAACGAATTTGTAAAACCACTTAGAAAATTATATAAGTAGGAGTGACAACATATTAATTGATTATTTCAAGAGAAAATAAATATGTAAATTATAATTCTAAATAAATATGTTTCTCTAAACAATGTACCAATTTAAAAAACTAGAATGTGGCTAAATTAACTAAATGGGAGTCTTTTGAAAAGTTTAATTATTAAAAATTTTTACAAGTTTCATATTTTCAATTATATATTACTTAAAAAATATTGAATTGATATTTTTTTATTTTAAAAAGTGTATATTGCAATTATATTATTTCTTCGAGATAATTAAAATAATGGTTTGATAGATGGCCCTTTATTTTGTAACTAGTACAGAGCCCGTGCGATGCACGAGGTGTACAATTTTAAGGTTATTTATCCAGACTTATAATTATATACATGAATAAAGAAAAATGTACGGGATATATATAGTACGTGACCCGTGTCAAGCACGAGATATATTTATTTGGAGAATATTATATTATAAGATGCAATATTCAATAAAAGTTTATAATACGCAAGAAAATTGTACAATGTTCAATAAAAGTTTTATAATATTCAAGTGGAGTCTTAAAGTCTCTTGTACATTAAGACTACTGACAAAATAATATTTTAGATCAATGAGTTTCCTTTCCTTGTAGCCAAATTGTGAATGTGATTTGAGGAGTACAACAAATCGATATATAGCTGACTTGCTTTTTCATTGTAGTTTTTTTTCTTTTTTTTTATAATGAATTTAAAGATATTCTAAAATATAGCAAAAATTAATTTTTTTTATTACAATTAGGAATTTTACTAAATATAAACTCTCAATCTATGGTGTTAACCAACGTTTAAGTCTAAAAAATTAAGAATTTTTACCTCTTTTAATCAACGTTTAAGTCTAAAAATCAATAGACTTATTATAAGTTTTTTTTCTACATCTTTTCAAACATTAAATATGAGCATGTTAGGGCTAGCTTGTAAAATAATTAATATATTATCTCACTAAAACATTTATACTCATAAAAATTTAATTTTAGCATATAAATTTATCCCTTGATATAAGAGAAAGTAACAGTTTTACTTATTGTTCTTCACCATATAATATTTAATTATTATTTTATTACATAATAAAAAAGAAATATTGTTAAATAGTGTAGTAGAATTGTTATAAAATTATATGATTTTTTTTTTTTACAATATGGATTTAATACTTTTTTTATGATTTGATAATATAAACAAATCTATACTTAACTTTGACAAATAAAACAAATAAATACTTTAGTAAGTATTTAATGTATATACTAAATAGGAATATATTTGGTATAATCAAATACCAAATATAATCAAATAAGTCAAAGTGTACATTTTTATTTGGTATTTAATTTTTTTATTATTAAAATCTTTTTATTATACTTACCTTTTTAAAATAAAATAAATAAATAAATCAATTAAATAAATAAAATATTATAATACCAAAATAGTAATGGTATTTAATGCAGTTTGGCTTTCTGGATAGTAAATATAGTAAATAGAATCTCCTTTTATATAAGTATAGATGTAATATTATATAATTAATATTTAAAACCTTTTTTATTCTTATTTTTAAATGTAATGTAACATAAATGTTGGCAAATAAGCATTTCCAAAAGGCATTACAAAATACACGAGTGGGTGCTGTGTAAATTTGCACAGCAGAGCCCCCTAATCCACAAAACATGGATCGAGGGGCTCAGCAGTGCAAACTTGCACAACACCCTCTCCTGTGTTTAGTAATGACCCTTAGATCTTGATACTTTAATCTAATGGTCCAAATTTTATCCTTTTTTTAATCGCACAACATAATAAAATATTTTCTTCAATACTTTTTTCACTACTTGCCCACTCTTGCAGCCTTCAGCCAAGAAAAAGACATCCTTCAAACCAAGAAAAACTCTTCCCTCGATGCAAATAATTGATTTAAATTTTGTCAAATGTCAACCAATGAAGACCATGGACAAGAGTTAAATCTCGAGAAAGAATCGGAGTACGGCTGTATAGATTGGAATAGAAAGAGTCCAACATTTATATAACATTACATTAAAAAATAAAAATAAAAAAGTTTCAAGTATTAATTAAATAATATTACTTTGATTGTATCAAATCATTATTTTAACTATCTCATGATTAGTGTTGCTGAGAGTGTTAGCAGTGAAAGAGCAGAGAATGAGAAGAAAAAAGTATTACTCTCCATATCTGTTTCTACTCTCTCTCAGACAATTTTTCCTTATCTTTTGGGCATGTTATTAATTTTGTAAATTATAATGTGGGAGAAAATTTTATATGTTTTACTTGGTCTCAACTTTCACGGGCAAATTGAAACCGATATCATATCCTTTTGAATGAGTTGCAATGTGAAATTAATCCAAGAAATTACATATGATTAATTATCAAATGACGATTACCAACTTTTCAATGAGTATGAGAATTCTCGTTTTTTATTTCTTTTATCTTTGATATTTTTTTTATTGGAGATTGAGCAAAATGAAAATTGAAGGGAACAAATTTAATTTTTTTATAACTAACGGTCAAAAAAATTATATAAAAATGAGCAATTTGCCTTTTTTTTTATTATTATTATTTGAAGTATCAATGAACTCATCTAATTAAATTTTGTAATTGGGAGTGAAAGTGTCACTCATGGTTCATGTAAGGTGTTAGATTGTATAATTATAATATTACATTGTTGTACGGCGAAAATGTAAAAAACAAAATGTGGTTATATACAAATATTAGAAGCAATCCCACTTTCATTTAAGAGCATCTCCAATGCAACTTTTGACATTATAAAAAGTCATCCATATCATCAACTTTTGAAAGTGTGTCTCTATTTTTTTCTCCAATGCATCTTGTCATGAACTCTTTCATGACGAGGTGGATGTCATTTAATGTTGACAATGTTGAGCACACTTTCTAATATCTAACACCATGTTAAACATGATGACTCATCAATTTACTTTATATTTGTTTTAATTTTTTATTTTTTTTGTATCAATGAATTATTTAATTGGTCCACCTATACAATTAACTTCTTATCAAATTGATGCATTGGAGATACTAGTTTTATTGAAATTTTTAGTCTTTTAACATTATTCTAATGTGGATTAACATTACAATCACTAATTGACATGTGTTAAAAATAATGGTCTTTCACACTTTTAGCATTGGAGATGCTCTAAGTTTCAACTCAACAGGCTATTATTAAAAGTGTGGGTAACATTCTCTCTCCATCTTCTATTTTAATTTAATACAAGTCACTCAAAATGGACAATTTGGACCATTAGATTAAAGTAACAAGATCCAATGGCCATTAATAAACACAGGAGAGGGTGTTGTTTAAGTTTACACCGCATGCCCCTGAATCCGATCCACAAAACATACCCTCACACTCCTCATTTATTAAACCCTAACCAGCACAACGGTCTCATCTTCCTCTCCCATCTGTCGCCGCTAGGCAACAATCCTAGGGAAACAATGGAGGCAATTATATCGGACCTTTGTCTCTCTTCTCACTTCTCAAATTTCCCGTGACGCCCCGCCTTTGGAACACAACCTCCGTCTAGACGCCCCCCCGTCTCCGACTCCACTTTCAAAGGTAATCACTATATTTTTTAAAAATTTAAAATTGGTTAATGTAAAATATGTGCAGGCCTTTCTTTTCTATTTCATAATTTTTCTTAAAATTAAAATATATTTTATGTATTAATACTCTATACCCTTGTTCCCTAAAGAGTAAAGGTAGTGTGTAATTTACAGATGGTCTTTATTTTTCTGAAAATATTGCATTCAACTGAAATTTTCATAAATAAAAAAATAGAGGAGAATTGAACTGTAGGTGTTATATGGAGGACTTGGTGTGTTGGTCAGAAGATGATGTGAATGGAAAGAGGTGTTTTGTAATGTAAAATACTTTGTTAATTAAATTTGGCATTGCAGAACTTAATTGTTCTTCTCGATCTGGGTTTGCATTGCCTTTAGGCAAGTTGTATGTCAAACCTAGGCAACTTTTGTCCATACCATCTGTCAAACTTCTTTTTGTTCCAATCATTAGTTTCTTCATAGACTTTCTATGGTGGGTCATTACTGCAAGATCTTAGTTAATAACAAATATTGTTCCAAATGTGTTTTATTCTGTGCCTTTCAGCTCTTGCGTTGTGAGGGGTGTTCCTATGTTTGTGACATCAATGGATGGAGAAAACTGTTACACGGAAACATTGTCTGCTTTGCTTTTGTTCCATTGTCCATATTGTAGTTTCATTGTGGGATTGGTGGATTGATTTGATAGATAAAAACTTGCGACTTAATTCATAACCACAATAATATCAATATAGAAAAAATTTCACCCCATTAATTGTTCCTTTTTCCCCCCATTTTATATGTTATTTTTTAAGTGTATTGAAGTGTCTTTAAAGTAAATGCAGATATTATGATGATGCGGCTTGCATCTTGAGGAAAATTGTTTTGGGTTTGTTGGATATTAATGTTGATTTAAACGGCGACTTTGGAAAATTTGACACATATCCTATTATTGATATGATTTTTATTATTGTCATGCCTTTATAATTCTCTTCAACATTCACTTTTTTTCTTTTATCATTTTCGTTTTGCAGTTAGAGAAGCCCTATGTTTCATGCATCTCAAACATGTTGTGGTATTTCAATAAATGGTGGCACCTCCATAAACATCACTCACGTAATTTTCACAAATATATTACTTGCACTCCATAATTCTTTAAGTTTGATAAGAATCACTGTTGTTTTCTTGATTATGGTTACAGGGCCTGCTATTGCTTTTTAAGGAAACTTCTTCCACAAAATTATTACAATCTTTTACTTATTTCTACCATTGTAAATTTTAAGGGTATTTTTTTGCCAAAGAGATATAACATACTTGTTTTTTATAGATGGTGACTTTGTTTGAGAATTGTATGGTGCAATATTGGCCCACTTTTTAGGTGATTTTTTTTTATATATAAGAGACAAATCAACTTCATTTTTGCATTTTTGCGTGTATTAAAGTCCCTATGCAAGTGAGGTGGATTGGTTCTTCAGTTTCATTTCTGGTTAGAAGTTTTTATGAATAATATGCTTATGAGTTGTATTTTCTCAATGTCTTACTATTTTTGTAGTAATTCAATGCTTGATCCAACTTCACTTTTCACCCTTCTTTTCGAGAGCGAACTTTTTGAGGTCTATATCGATCATTTAGTTGTATTATCAATGTCATCTAATGAGTTAACGTGTGAAACAATTCCAATAAAGTCCATGACATGCTCAAGGCAGTAATAACGCGAAAGTTTGATCATATCTATATTTAGTTTTCAACTTCTCCTTTTACTAGATTCTCACAATCCTTCTAACAGCAAAACAACTGTTCTCAGTCAACGACAGAGTCATCTTTGATCTTACACATATTTGTAGCATGGCTGCCCTACTCTTTCACCTACATTATAGGTGTTTTTCTATATATATATATATATATATTTTACATTTACATTTTTTTACGGAATGAAGGTAGTTCAAAGGAGAGAGAATAAAACCTTGCCAGGAAACTTAAAGAGATTCTTCACCATTGTGTCTGTGGGGACAGAGAGGGCTTCTGAAGACAATCTTAATCCGAAGCTCAATGACTTTCACATGCAGGTCAGCTTTTAAGCCAACACTCAATTATTTAATCCAACACATATTTGTGTATTTTCTTCATTTCGACAAATGGTGAAGCTGAGGTGTATTGTAGGCTAAGGTAATGTTTGCAAACGTACACGAACCGTCGTAAAAAGAAAAAAAAAAAAGAAAAAAAGAATTGAAAAAAGAAAGTCAAAGAAATGAAGTGATTGGAGATGAAATTGGTTACCGATTGTGTCGGGGAGGGGAACATTCTACCTCTCGGTTTTAGATTCCATCCCACCGACGAGGAGCTAGTTCTCTACTATTTAAAGAAAAAGATTTGTGGTAAACGACACATTGTGGATGCTATTGCCTAGTAGATTTTTGACTCAATTTACTCAATTTTTTGAAGACTTATTGTTTGGGGTGCATTTATTTGCTAACCACTTCACATTTACAGGGATGTCCAAAATGAACACACGAGAGAAGCAGTGGGTCAAGTCGACTCGAGGGAGGTGTCTCGATCACAAATGGATAATGACTCGGAAGGGGTCGCGTATCAAGTGTTGACAGACGTGCCAAGTGGCAGTTTCGCAAGTGGTGATGAAGCAAATCAGGGACTCTTTCTTTCTCAATCTTCAGGTACTGTTGTGGAATTCTCAATCTAGTGGCTTTTAAGCTCTTATACGAGTGTAGTTTGACTTTATCATAAATGACTTGCATGTCTTTTATATGCATTATGGTTGCTTTTTCTAGAGGTCTTGATGAGATGGACGGTATGGCAAAGACGTGTCATCTTCAAGGTGGTGAAAACTCTCCAGCCCAATTGGGAATCGGGGAGTTTGAGCCAGCTTGAAGAGCTTGTGTTGTTCCCTGAAATAACTTGCACGAGTAGTCATTTTGATCGTTATTGTTGAATTTTTAATTGGAAAAACTAAGGAAGTTGAGATATGTTCTGGGATCTTCTTTTCTTTTCCTCTTCTGTAAAATAAAAAGAAAGATCGAGGGAAGTTTATATTTGATTGCTGACAGAGATCTAGGGATTTACTCCATGGCCATCTTTGGTTTCACATATTTATGTGTTAAAACTCTCCAGACCAAGTGGGAATCGGGGAATTTGAGCCAGCTTGAAGAGCTTGTGTTCTGCCACTGAAATTCTTGTTAAGACTGTTTTTATTAATTGTTAATGACTTTTGTCATCTTCTTTTTTCTCTTAGGTCGGCCTCAAAATAACGATAGCTGTCTTGAAAATCAAATTAATGGAGAAAACGAAAAAGGAAGCCACGGTGAAGACTGGTTCACGTCCGCCCTAAAGTCCTATCTGGATTCTATACCGACAACACCTGTTTCGGAATTCGACAAAGGTTTGGTAAATCCGGATTTTAGGTTCCGAACCAGGGGTGTTGCTGCAGGCAATCCCTTGGCCTTGGCAACTACCAGAAGGTTGGCAAAGTTTAGAGTCAGTTTTATCTGTTTGTCTTTAATTGGGCTTTTGTGCGCTGTATTGTGGGCTCATGTAAACTAAACTCAATGTCTTTAATTGGGCTTTTGTGCGCTATATTATTGGCGCTTGATGGAAACTAAACTCAATGTACAAACTAAACTCAATGTACGAACTGGTTCCTTAAATATTCCCTATGTCAGTGTTGCTTGATCAATTTTAAAAGTAAGGCCGCAATTAAGATTCGAGTCATTAAGCTGTGTTTTGTATAAATTCTTGTATAAAGTCATTACGTTGCGTATTTTTATATTACGAAATGCATACTTCAATTAATGTTTTTCAAAATATGGCATTGCAATGTGAAAATATAAATATCTGAGTTTCTGTTAAAAAAATATAACTGACTAACCGTTAGACGTGTTTGGAATCAACCTCACCTATGTTTCCTGCTTGAACATACTAATTACTATGATAATAATAACATGATTGGTATGATGAAATGGTATGAAAATGAAATGATCATTATTCCTTCACTCATTCTTAATTCTACTAGTACAACTCCCGTGTACTACACGGGTGTTTCATAAAAAATAAAAAAAAAAATCTTATTGTGAAATAAAAAAACTATAATTAGTTAATAAGAAAATGATTTTTTTAATATTTTTTTGAATTCTATAAAATATTTTATGAAATAAAATTTATTTTATTAAATATATATTTATTTGCTTCAAAATTAAATAGATTAATTAATTTATTCGACAATTAATAGCACCTGTGAATATCACAGGCGCTTGAAAGTTAAATATTTGTATCATAATAAAGAAGTGAAAATATATATTCTTATAGTAGAATGATAATAAATTAAATATACAACTAATAACTAAAAAATAACAAAAATAATTATTTAAAATAATACTCTTATTTTATACTCAATTTGTTATAATGATAATTTTCATAAACACACACACTAAAAAATTAATTTTTAATTTTTCTTAAGTTTGATTATTGTAATTATACTTTATATTTATACAATTTTCCTCCCTTATTCAATATTTTTAAAATATCTTCAACTTTATAATATTCAACAATTTAAAATATAATGTGTATGAGTGTAATATTTTAAACTTTATGAAATGAAATAATTATTTTTATAATTTTAATTATAATGTTTATTTATTTTTTTTCACGATCATAATGTTTCTATGTGGTCTTTATTCAAGCCGAGGCATAAACTTTTAGAATATTTTTTTTTATATTAATTGATGTT